GATGGATCGACAGAAGTTGTTTTAGGATTTGGAATTACTGTAAGACCTTTCGACGTACGTATTGAATATTGAAATCTAAGGAAAGTCGATGTTTATAGATGGGAAACATTTACTAAAGCACGAAAGTCATTACTCAGTTGCTAAAGCTGTTGTTTGAGCATTGAGAAGATTGAATTCTCGTGTACGTCCTTGATTATTAGCTTCTGCTTTATATTCAAATGGCACGTTTGATATAGCACCAATTTCAATCGTTTCACCGATGCTAACAATTGGTGATGCAACTTCACGTTGAAGTGTCAACGAAAAGCTCAGTCTGAAATTTCAAATAAGCAAACGAATGAAATAAACTTTTCTTCGAAATCATACGCTGATCGACTGGTGATTGAGAACAAGCCAAGTCCTGCAGCATCGCGAGTGTTTTTCAAATCAGTCGATAAATCAGCAAGTACAGCAACTTGAGCTGATCGGTACAATGTCAAACCATTAGCAGCTGCTGACGCAGCACCAATTTCTAATGGAATACGAAAGATGGGATTTTTATCTCTTAGTTCGTTCAATCGTCCCAAGATTTGATTTCGAACGAATGTACGAACATTTGAACGAAGCAGATCTTGAACTTTATCAGTGACGTCTCGTGCGCGAATATCAGCTCCGAATAATTTCAAATAAAGGTGAACTGACGGATCAGGATCTTCTTTATCATCATATTCCTGCGAAAGTACAATAAAAGATAAATTAACGTCGATCGATGATAAACAGTTGACTTACATTTTGCATTCGTTGAACATTAGGTGGTAGTGCATTCTTAATGCGTTCTTTTTCTTCATCGGTAACGGTTTTACCTTTAGTCAATGGATCCAAACGCAAGAAATAATCAGCAAAATTCCAATCAAGATTTTCACTAATCAATGCTACATCGATCCATGGTAGACGAAGAGTTTCACGACGAATGCCATCGAATGCTAATTTCAAACCAATGAACGATGGAACAACACGATCATTTTCGAAGACAATGCAGAGATGAATCACGGCTTCGTAGTTTCGACGAAGTGGGATTTCAAGTTGAATTTGTCGCGAAGAGATGGTTGCTTGTTCACTGAATTGTTTCTTATTGGTGTGATGTGCGCGAAGACGAGCAGCAAGACCACGTAATGGACAAAGGCGATCAAGAGAAGAATATTTCAATGCTGACCAAATGAAACCATTTACCTAATTCAAACAAACTGCAACGATGAGAAAAATTTTGCAAGAATTGTAATGAAATTACTTGATTGAGTGGTTCATTAAGAACATCGCCAAGAGCCTTTTCCAAAGCATCACCTAACGATGAATCAGCTTCTTCGGGATTGTAGATAAACGATGTAAACAAAGCTTCGAATGCCCAGACTCGTGCGGCATTTTTATTGGCTTTGTTTTGCAGCTTTCGCAATAAAATGTTTTGAAGATCTTGTCGAATTCGCAATTCACTGCTATCTTCAATATTATGATCACAGATATGACGAATAGCATTCAATGCATGATATTGAACTTCTAAGTCGGCTTGATCATCAGCAGCAAGTCGTCGGACGTTCTCGTCATATAAGCCTAATTGAGCATAGGCTGATAAAACAGCGGTAGTTACATTGCTGGTTGCTTTTGTTGGGTTGGCGAGAAATCTTGAAATAGATCGTTGAAAATCTTTGATTTTCTAAACGAAAATAAAAAGACCGTAGTCGTTGAAAAATACTCAGTGAAATGTTAACAATCAACAGACCACATCAGCGTCTTTGTTGTTGTCTTCTCGTGAATTGTATGTTTTGAGAATATTTGCAGCAAGACCAACGAATTCCGGTACTTGCTGAGGTGTCAATCGACGTGCTGCTTGAACAACTTGATCAACGAGTTCAGTTGATGGTTTATCCAAATAGAAAACAGAGAGTGGGTTGGCAAATTTCAATGTTTGAGTATCAAGATTAAGTAGCGAAGCACTTGGATCATGAGCATAGATTGTATTGAGAAATGTTGGCACTAAATGTCTGTCAAACGAACGATAATAAAAGTTCTATTTGAAAAAGATGATGTGCAATACTTAAGGCCTGCGTTGGCTCGGAATGCTTCGATGTTTTGTCGATCCATTCGTCGTAATTCATTGGCGATTCGTACGAAACGTGCAGAAGCAAATTGATTCCAATCTTGTGTTTTGAGAAGTTCTTGAATTTTTGATACTAATGACGAAACAGCTTCGTTGGATTTATCGAACGTTGCGGTGGGAACAAATTGTAATGTTTGTCGAAGAGGATTTCGAAGTTGACCTGCGAACATGAAATGAGATTAGAGTTGGGTAACCTTTCGATGCTACTTACAGCCATCGACTTGGGCAGCGGCGTTGCTTTGTAAAGTTAAATCTTGTGTAATTGAGACAAGTTTAGTTGAAATTTCTTCGTCATCATCTTTATTATTGAAATCGATCTCCTCTTGTTCTTCGGAGCTGTTATCATCACTACGGATAGCTGCGTCATCATCATCACCTTGAACCGCAGGCTTCTTGCCTGGCTTTTTGCCTTCCTCAGCATCAATTTCGATTGTTTTACATCGGACACGCTGGATTTTCTTGTCGCGAACATCGGTACGACAAACATAACGCGTGTTAGCAGCGAAAGCTTCTTCCATCTACATCGAGATTAGATTCATTTATAGGAAAAACGTATTCTTTCGCTACCAAACTTACCAAAGGACCAAGAAGTGATGTTAAAACAGGACTTGAACTTAAATGTAGTTTGTCCTTGGAACAAGTTGATAAATCTTTGTTCTTATCGATCTGGGTGACTGGGCCTTTCTGCGAATATTTGTAGCGAGTTGTACAAACACCAAGCACATCTTCTTCTCGCACCTTGAATAGAACCAATCATTCAATCGATCAATCGCCGTCTATATTCGAACTTACAAGATTTTCGTGATCATTAGGTACAGGCGAGTAAACTTGAAGTGTACTGAGAACACCTTTGATAAAGTTGACATGATCAACTTTAGCTGATGAATCAGCTTCGACGGCGACAACGAAACCATCAACCCATCGAAAACGTGCACACACGCTTTCAAGTTCTCGTTGAGCACTGGCAGTCGATGTTACAGGTGTTTCATTTTCATCTTTCGTTTCGGTAATTTTGATATTTCGAAGCTAAACAAACTTCTCTTGTGCTAGCGCATGCAAAGTAACCCAACTCACTTGAACAGCATAGTTGCAATCACCTAAACTTCGGATGTGCACATCAGCTGTGATCTCATTCTTTAAATCGAATTGAGCATTGGCAACAGAGAGTTTAACTTCTGTCTTATATTTGTAAACCAATGAACCTTGGCCGGGAGCAATGAGTTGAGCTGAATAAACCGAAGATGAGAGATTTCTCAGAATATGAATGCATGCACTTACCCGATGAACAGATTGGATCGGTTCTACTCGGCGCAGAAAACGGTGCAGCTGCACTTCGGCAAACTATACAAACATATTGCAACGAAACCTATTGAATTGAAGAACAAACATCGTAGCTTACTCAGCACAAAGACCAGTGTATAGATGAAATTCGACGATGCCACCATCGTTGAATTGATATAGCAAATTACTATCCTAACGGATATCGATATGTGCCAGTCGTTTTCTACAATGAGTATGTAGAAGACGCAGTTGCTGTCTAAAGCTGAAGTTTATATACGGTCGCTTGTTTACTTGTCTCTCGTAATAAATTAAACTAATAACTAACTGATAAGACTTGTAGCAGTCTAGCTTACCAATAAGGAAGAGTTTGCGAAGAAATGCAAATCAAAGATAAGTACGTTTTCGCTACTCTGATGATTCCCTCGATGTATTTATGACAGGCTATATATTATCTACTTTCAACAGCCGTCGTCAATGTTCTTGTTTTTTTTAATGTATAACTGAAAGCTTAATGAAATCGATCTATATATATATGTATGATACCATAGTTCGTACGAGAACGCACTTTGACCTCAAATACAAATAACCGGCACTAAAGTTAAAGACCGTTGACTATATTTAGCACATCAGTTATCTTAATGATGCTAGAATATTCTGCTAGGTGGTGATATACATCAAGCAAAGTTATCTACATTCGTTTATCCTTTCGCATAAAATTATGTACAGTTTCTGACATGAATGATAATCATGTCATTATTTCGAGAAGAGATCTATGTCTTCAAAGATGCACATCAATAGTTTAATGGGGAAAACCTGACTGAAATGTCTTATGAATATGCTCGATAAAGCCCTGGATTCTGATATATTAGAGGTTGTCTTTCGATGTAATGACTTTCCCATAATATCCACCAATCATTTTCTTATCGTATCGCAAGTACCATACAAAATGATTCTCTATCATTATTGGATGGGTATTTCCCAGGAAATCACATACACTAGATATTTCAGAAGATGAATAATGAACGACATAGTTTCTGTTTCGTCGCCATTTTTCATATGAATATTTCTCGAATATCATTCATCGAAAGGTTATTTCAGGAAAAACATGTCAGAACCCGATGTGATACAGAAACAACCTTTGTACTGCATATCAATCAACAACCTATCATTAGTTTTCATCAAAGCAGAACAGTTCTCGTCGTTGATATCAAATATGGTCTTATATAACATCGACAAATAGAGATCATATGGAGAGCAAGAATGTTGCAGATAGTTTGTTGAAAACATCATCCACACCCCGTCGAGTTGATTTATATCAAAGAAAGAAAAAGAAAACATCGTTTTTTCGAACAATATGGCCTTAGTTTATTGTGTAAAAGTGCAAACACTGAACAGACAATTAGGTTCTCAAAGTGGAATGATCAATACTGGAACACAAACTTACTTTTCTTGAGAAGAAGACACACACAAAAAAAGATTATAAAAGAGAGAGGAGTGTCGAAGGTGTGTGAAAGCGATATAAGAATACAGACAAACGTGAAATGAAACAGACAAAGATACAACATAGAAAATATACAAATATTTCATTTTATGAATTATCATTGTTGACAAGAATATATTCATGACCATTGCTTTTTGCTAAGTGTTCATTCGCATGAAGATATCTATCTGCAAGCCGTACAGTTGATTGTAATTCATTTTCCTCTTCATCGGAATCCGAATCATTCCCATTTCTATACGATAGAAACAAGAATATTTCATGTAAAACACAAATACAAGTCTCGATTACGACTACACCCAAAAATACGTACGATGTTAACCGTGGTTCTTCTGTTTCCGTATCATGCAAAATGCCATTCTCTCCATTAGCGTATGCTGGAGTTTGTTGCGCATGATATCTTGCCGATGGATTATCATACTGCAAGGAAATACTCAAATAAATGAAACTTCGAATTTGTTCAATTTTACCAGATGTGAATAATCATCTTTGTCTCGTGTTTTTGTTTGCATAAAATTCGTGTTCTGATAGATCTTATATCGAATCATTTCGTCAAATGCAACATTTGATACATCACGAATCAGATCAGCAGCACATTCACGAATGCTAAAATAGAGAAGAATAAAGTCTGAACAAGATCATATTCACGTCCTACGTCGATCCACAATATTTTTCTATAGTTGTTTCAACTAATTCAGAAAACTGATTTTCAAATGGATGCAGCAGTTGCGCTGAGTCAGGTTGTTGCTTGAAAAGAAAAAGTATACGTCCGCGAATATGGCACAGAATCGATTGATTAAAAATATCGTTAATATGCAAACGCATGAATCTAAAACAAACAAGATTTGAATGTATTCAGTATTCATTGAAGAATAACATACGGAATTAATTGAACCATAATTGATTTGACTTGTAAATCGATTGTTTGTATCTCATTATTACTTATATTCTAAATAAATGAGAGTAGATTCTGTGTGTTGGAGATCTTTACTGATTGATCATACTTGGTTGGTCAATGTATAATGAGATTCTGGTTGAATATTAAAAACCGAAGTCGAAAATTCACTCGATTGCCTTTCATCGTCAGTATCATCATTGAATGGTAACTCTTGTAGCTGTTGATAATCATCAACAGATGATAGTGTCGACTGTTGATCCGATTTTTGTTTGTAATCATTTAGTTGATTTTCAGTGGGTACCGGTCGACGATGAATTATGAAGGATTTTGAAGGATCTTCTTTTAAAAAAGGATTAAATTGATTTGGAAGATCGTAAATATCAGATTTCGGCTGCATAGATGGACGTGGTGATGAATCGTCGGTGGAAAATGTACCTAATACAATAGAGATATGAAACAAACAATAGGTTGCCCAATATTTTACCATTTCTTTGTTTTTGTATTGGTGATGCATCCATTTCGTTGTTATCAATACGGATAGCCGTTTGTTGACTTGTGCTTTGACTCTGAAATGATGTGCTACTTGGATTTTCCAATAAACGATTTGTCATGAGAAGAAGATTTTGTTGTCTTGATTGTTGTTCTAGACTAGGTCGTGGTCGCGGACGTATTGTTTGATTGAATGCATAGATCGAATCTTTGGAATCTTCTCGTGCATAGCCGCGTGGAATTTGATGCATATATTGTTGATCAAACGAAATCGATGATGTCAAACGGTTATTTTCCGATTGAAGGGCATTGATCTCGGATTGTAAAACTGCTATTTCACGATAGGCTGTGTTTAGATTGACGATTAGGCCTTGCGTTAAGACTTGATTTTGCAATTGACTGAATACTGGATCGGCTGCCGGAGTCACAGGTGATTCTGTCGTTGCTGTTAAGCGTTGTTCAATATGACGATTGAACGATTTTTGTTCTTGGATGAATGTTGACAAGCAAGCAGAGATTTCACGCATTTGTTCATTTAATTCATTCGGACTCTGTACAAGTTTCGGACGAAAACTATCCGATGCACAGAGGTTCTAAAATGATATGCAGTTAAGTATTAGCTATCTTGTTGATAGTCTACTTACACTTTGTTTTATGGGTGATGATCGATTCATCTCAATGCAATTCTCTTTATCTACATCAATATCGGAAGGATAGGCGCTCGATTCATCATCGTCGCTGGAAACTTCTGCGTAAGTGCAATGACGTGTAGGACGAAGATTTTTCGAATCATTCAGTTTTTCTTCATATGCTCTCAGTTGAACCGATGGCGTGTTCATAGTTTGATGTAATGAAGTTATTTGATTTTTTAACGTATGTAGACGTTGACGAGATTCGACTAGACGTTCAATTTCACGATGTTGGGCTGCGATTTTCATATCAGCTGGAAAGTTCTCCACTGGCGACGAACATTTCGCGATCGCTGGTTCAGTTTGCGTATGTTGTGATGATCTTGCACTGTACGTAAATTGATTGTTGCAACGTTCAAAACCATGACTTTTCGAAAGCGGAGTTGAATGTGACGATGATGCTGACGATGAATATTCATCGGGTTGAATCTTCTTGACCATATGTTGAAGTTGTCCTAGTGCTGATTTCGCTTGTTCAAGTTCCCTTGAAAGAAAAACATTCTGATATGACTCTCTGATCATACTAAATGCTTCTTACAATCGTTTGGCCGCTAGTTCACTAGATAGTTCATCAAGTTGTTCAGGAGTGCGGTCATTTGCAGTTATTTCATCGATTACTTGTGGAGATTCTTCATCTGGCTGAGAATTGACATCTGTTTGGTAGTATGTAACGATTTGTTCCAATTCATCTAATCGTTCGTGAACATGTTTGAGATTTTTTAGACGATTTTCTGCCGAGATTCTTGGCTGTTTTGACGAGCTAAATAATCAGACAACGAGCATGCACGTGGAAAAAGAATCGTTGTTCGATCTATGTACTTTTTTAATAGTTGAAGTTCTCGTTGATGCTTTTGTTCATAACGACTTCGAAGTAATTTCAAGCTAAATGTAATCAAAAGCTATCTTGCAAAAAAGAAAACAACATCGTCAGCTAATTACCGATCGCGTAGATTATGAATATCAGATAAAAGGTTATCTTCATTCATGCTAGAACTTGTCGGGCCTCTTGATTGCTGTTGTTGTTCCATTAGACGCTGTTCGGAACGTCGTTTCAATGCCAACAGTGCTCGTTGCTGACCTTGCAAAGCACGAATCTATATAACGACGAAAATCTCGTAGATATTAATACGATTGAATGTACGTTTTACTTGTTCTTTCTGTAATGTTAAATTTCTTTCCATTTCTTTTTCACTTTCCGCATCAGTGGCATCTTCATCAGACTTAACGAGAAGAAAGAAATCAAACATCCGATATCGGATAGTTCTTACTGTTCCCTGTTGATCTTTCCAATTCAGTGTATCGCTTTTCAAACTTCCAACAAGCGAATCGTAATTGGAATAGTCATTTCGACTATTTTGTTCATTGTCAGACAAATTTATTGTGGGTAGAACTGGTGTTGGCGCTTGAGGAACAAAACCTATTTTACTTTCGATACGTGGACGAATTGGCGATCGGATATTGCCACGAAGCGAGAGATCATCCTTAAATAGGTGAATACACGTGAGAAACGCTAAATCATTTGCAAGCATCCTTACATCACCATCTTCATCATCATCATCATCTTCTTCTTCTTCATTTCTATGACTCAGTTGAGCTTGATGCTTAGATGCTGATTGTCGGCTGAGCACAGCTGAACGTTCCTCTGCTGTTAACTAGAAATAGCGACAGAAGATGAGTTTTGTATGGGTTATGCGTATTACTGTTATTAAGTTGAGTAAATTAACGTAGCTAGCTTGTTGTTCTTCTAGATTGTGAATGATTGAGCGTAGTTTATCATGTTGCTGAGTGCATCCTGGCTGGAAAAAGATATAAAATCTATTTTTTCTTGGAAGAGTCTATCTGATCGTATTTACCACAATATCTTTATATTTTTCCATGGATTCGAGCATTGTCTGTGCTTGATAGATCGATTTTTGTATTTCTCGTATTCGAGCAATGAGTTTAGATGTTGAAAGGATCTAAAATTCGAAGATATAGTGGTCGATTTCGTTATTCTCAGTTGAAAACTGTCTACTTCAGATGATTGTTCATGATCACTATTGACAATTGTAGCATTATCCAATGTTTCGTTCGACTCATTCTTATCACTCGTGCTAATAGTTGGTCGAGGAATACCTTCAGCTAAGAGATCATTCTCGTCGTCACCAGATTCATTGTCATCACTGATCGGTATTCCGTTATTTTGATAGACCGGATCGAAAAATGACACCTAGAAAGTTTCGTATGAATAATGTAAAACAAATGACGTACCATTTACTTGATCATTTCTGGTCCGTAGGTTCCGTATTTTACGTTTCGGTGGCATTTTATTATCTAGAAGAGAAAATAAATAGATCTTTATCTGATTTTCAAAGATGATGAGTATCAATTGCACTGAAGTGTTTAATCTACTATTTATCTTTATTCTTCGTTCGAACACGACGAGCTTCGTTAATTAATCTTTCAATTTCGTGTCGATTTGTTTCAATTCGAGTATTTTCGTTCTGATTATCAGAAGCGTTTGTTGGTCGATTCGTTGCATCAGGACGATATTCCAAAGCTAATAAATATAATTCGGAAGACTCCGAACGCGATGAACTCGGTTTAATCACATGAACAGCACCAAAAAGAGATTCAAGTAATGGACGAAGATCTTGAAATACTTCATGACCTTGAAACAATTTGCATAGAAAGTAACCATTTGGCTTCAATAATCGACGAGCGAAATCAAACGCTTGATGTTGCAGTGCTGCAATTGCTGTAAAAGACGAAATTAATATTTGTTTTGAATAGATAAATACGAACCTGACTGGTCGATTGCTTTACATCCAGTTACATTTGGACACATATCAGATAGAACACCGTCAACTTGCTCAATTTTTAATCGCTTCAATAGTGCTTGTAATCGTTTATTACAATCACTAGTTGTATCTGCTGTTAAATTCCAATTATCAATGATATGTACACCGGGAATTTCAAAAATCGGACTACGATCCAGTGCAATCACTGTTCCGCATTTCAAATCTGGATTAGTTCGATGCACAAATTCATTCGTCGACGTGATTTTCTTTTGTTTTTCAACACGAGCATTGACCTGTTTCACCAGTACCTGTGACCATGCACCAGGTGCAGCACCCATATCAATCACCGTGTGACCAGGTTGTAAGAATTGATACATGTCATTGATTTCAATTAATTTGAATGCACTTCGTGCTCGATAATTTTCTTTAACTGACCGACGTACATATGGATCGGACACGTGTTTGATCATCCATGCTTTCGTATGTTGGCATGCGCTTGTAGAAAAAAATTGTTTGAAAAACATTAACGTCTAGACGTTAACAAGTACTTCCGTATTATTATTATTATTACTGTAAAGGTTTCTTTCCGTATAATACCATCGAAGGGTTAAAAGTTGAAACGATCACTGCCATCGGTCAATATTTTTCACTTCATGTTTTCAAGGTAACGACCCAGAAGAAGTTTACTTTGGAATTCATCGATCTCGTTAGCCATGACAACGTTCAATATATTCTTTTGATTCTTTTAAATTATTTATAAACTTTTGTTATTATANTTATTATTATTACTGTAAAGGTTTCTTTCCGTATAATACCATCGAAGGGTTAAAAGTTGAAACGATCACTGCCATCGGTCAATATTTTTCACTTCATGTTTTCAAGGTAACGACCTCGAAGAAGTTTACTTTGGAATTCATCGATCTCGTTAGCCATGACAACGTTCAATATATTCTTTTGATTCTTTTAAATTATTTATAAACTTTTGTTATTATAGTTTTGTGATAAACAAAAATATTATGCCAAACATGGCGCGACATCTACTGATAAATTAGATTATGATTTATTCACGATACAAGTAAAACGACTGTTCAACGTAACTAACATCGTATTAAAGAAATGCTAGGCGAAAACATCTTATAGGTGCGCAGTTTGTTGTTGAGCATTTTGATCTTGAATCATTTTTCTGACATTCTCCAAAATAACTTTACTTTTGCCTGTGGGCTTCTGACGTCGACACGTATTTTGCTTTTGAAGTGTCTCTTCTTTACTTATATCATAACTATCGGCACACGATCGATGTTTGGAGTGTTTGATTTGCTCAGTGGAATCACTGTCCGTCGAAATCGACACTTCCAATGATGAACGATCAGCTGGTTTATCATCGACAATCGTTGGCAGTGGCGATGGTGTTCTCATTTGTTTAGGCTTGATGAATAATTTTGAAAGAGACGTTCGTGAACGGACGGACTGGTTTTTAACTGTCGCTTCTTTTTCCTTCGATTGATCATCAGCATTCTTCTTTAATGTGGCTTTCGACTTTCTATGAAATGAGCAAATTTTTTACAATGAAAAAGGTTTCGTTGATTGACATACGTTTTGATTTTATCTTCCTGCTGAATAATTTTGGTCTGAGAAGTTACATGAATGCTTTCGACATTTCGAATGAAGATTTCTTTCACTTCTGTGTCACGTTGTTTTCCATGAACTGGAAATGATCTGGATTTTCGCCGTGAAAAACAACATAATCGAGGCATGAGAAAAATAGCAAAGTGTTCACATCACTGTTTCTCTTGTTTTCGAATAACAATGATGTAATGTCGTTAGCGAAAGAATGTTTTTTAAAGCTTACGGACAAACAAATCACACACGAAGAAAAGAATTTTATTGACATAAGAGAGTCATCTTCAAAAAAGAACATTTAACAAATGGGAAATTGCTCTTTTCAACCTTCGATGCAAAATTAAGATTGAGGGTGAGGGTAAGGGAATTTTTGTCTCGCCTTTCTATGACTTTTTATTAAGTCAAATAGCATTTTAATCTCAAGTCCTCTTTGTATTGTCAGCTTGTTTTACCCTCGCCCTCATCGTAGCGACCGCCGTGATTTCTCGATTCCTTTTCTGTAGCAATAGATGTTTTGTAGGTCTTTTGTTTGAAAGATTTACAAACAGGAAAGGATATTATATTACATAAAAAGAAGCTCCACCCACAAATGATAATACACTGAATCGTGAAATCGTTCACCGATCGACGACGATATCGATTCAAGCAGAGATAATACACACATATTTAGATCCTAACCAGCATGAAAATCAAGATTCAATATATTTCGGGAAAGTTATTACTAACAGAAAATCATATGCTCAATCTAACTTTGATCAAGCAATTATTTGTTGAATTCAGATGATCAACAAGTCATCAGTTTGTCAAAAATCATGGTTAAAATTATTTGAAGAGTTTTATCGAAAGAATAATTGGCGAATTAAGTAAGGACAGTTCTTTGTTCAGTAGTATTATAACATGTATTTCATTGTTATTTGTTCAAGCGGGTCTGATCGTTCAACTAAAACAAAGCAATACTGATACATCTTTTCTTATTCATCATGCGGCATTGTGTCACGCTCTACTTACACACTCATACGTGATATCGTAACTTTTTAAAATTTTCCTTTGGTCAATAGACGAGTAATAATTTGTATGATACTCACACCCTCAACTCTATCAATCGTCTATAGTTCGAACTAGCGCAATGAAATAATTCAGAACTTGACATATGGCATTCGGTGTTTTTATACAGTACTCTATCTGTTCTTCTACAAAAATACTTTAACGTTAAAAACTCAGGTAGCAAATATATGCTTTTACGAGAGCGCGATTATGAAGATGATGAGAACAATATGAAAAATCTTCATGTTTCGATCACATACGAAATGGGCCTATTCGTAATAATTCTACTTCATGTCTCTTGTTGCATGCCACAAGCAGATGTCCACGTTCTACAAATCTTGTCGGCTACACTTTTTCAAGTTCGATCTATTGTAGAAGAAAAAAGGCGCATTTTGGTTCATAAAATATGACTTAAATTTTTCGATATATCAATAAACTTCGTGATTCATGTAACTGAGGATAATAAATTGACAAAAGCAAATACTCGATATAATTTATTTATTTCAAAAGGAAAAGGACAACAAAAAAATAGTTGATCACAACACAAGTATACCTTTCATAAAAAAATAATCAGGAAGTCTCTCAAAGAATTCCAACAACAACAACTATAGTAGGACCGAAAGACCATCGTCTTGCGTCTTTTGTGCACCATTGCAGCAAAAAGAGAAAGATCTGATGTACTTACTCACTTGAATGCTAAGATAAAAAGCTTGGTCGTAGCTTTAATTCTGTCGATGTCGGCGATGTTTTCTCCGGCTCTAGGAACATAAACGCAACAGAATATTTTGTAAGTCGTTACTGATTTCCTCTGCACACCTGATGTTAATGGAATATATGCTGGCATCACACTTGGAAGACTAGATTCTGTTTGGTCAACTTTTCTAAAAGATCTTACATGACGTACAGATTGAAAAAGAAAAAAGAAACTCGCACTTGGAAGAAGGTATTCTCAGATTTACAAGCTTATTTTCACTTCTCTTTCGTCGATGTGTTAAATGGCATTGTTTACCACGTGGACATTGGCCAGTTGATTCAAATTGCGGACACAAGAGAACATGTTGTTTCGGACACTAGATGTTTGATCATTTTTAGTAAGTATGAAAAGAACAAAGAAACTTTCATGTTTTTCTCACAGACCTCAATTCCTTTGGCACAAAATCCTTGAACAAAATCATCACAGATTTGAGCATCAGCTCCTACAAATGAATGTGCATAAGGGCAATTGTCCTGCCCACAAGCTCCTTTCATAAAAAAGGAACATGTTGGAACTTTTCCCGGAGTTAATTCATGAGAGTACGGGCAAGAAGAATTCTTACATCGTCCATTCAAAAATCTAGCATAACGACAAAGAAATGATCAATCAATCTAATCAATCACTTCATAAGATTAAATCAACATACTGTGTACAGACAGCAATTCGCGTACGATCGTGAAGAAATGGACATTCATCACCACGATGGCATTTACCAAAGCGATTAAAATAAATGCAATTTTTCTTCTTTCGTAGGGAGGTGGATTTTTTTGTTCGATTTCGTAATCGATAGCATCCGTTACTTATGTGAATACTTCGTTGGAGGAGTACGCTAAATACTTATTACAGTAGAATAATTTCTACACGAATGAACAATACTTTGCTTTTGATCGAATGGGATCTTCGGTTTTTTTCACTGGAATCGATGATAATGCTGTTTTGCTAGCGTCAGGATCGGATACTGGAAAACTGAGAGTAAGAAAGGACAATAAAAGAATAGAAATCTTACCTAACCGTTGAAGGCATTTGCCATTTGGATGGGTTTGGAATTTAATACCACGAATACGCACAAGACATTTGGAGAGCGATGCATGAGGCTTACGTTTTGCTACTCGTCCGCTACTCGTTGGCTTTCGACGATCGAGTTTGAAACTAGAGGAAAATTTTCATTAGCAAAACTATGAACACTCAAGAATAGGTCTGAACCTGTTTCGATTAGTTTTTCTCAAACTTGTTCGTATCCATTTATACTTGTTTTCAATATTCTTCACTAGTGCTGTCGACGGTAATGATTTCTCTGTGTTTTTTACTCGTAGAAGTGAAGTTTTCGATGAATTGAGTGCCGGTTGCGTTTTTTGAGTTCCATTCCGTACAAGTTTGAATCGAGATGTTGGTATTGCTGCTGCTGCGGCTGCTGTTGTTGTTGTTGTTGTTGTTGCTTTTGACACTTTGACAAGTGTCGTTGTTGAATGAACGAGTTTAAATCGGGTTCGATGAGAGTAAGGTTTACGATATGAAGGAAATTCCATCTAGAATGACTAAGAAGAAAAAAACAAAGAATTTAATTTGAATAGAACATTTAGTTGAACTACATAAACAAAGACCAGAGAACGAAGGGACACATTGGTGAATTTTATATTTATATTTATATATATATAAAGAGAGAAATCATTCGAAATTAAGGATTGCGAATGCCAAGAGCTTGCTCTAATTCTACACGTTTTTGTTGGACTTTATTGTAGAAATATCGACTAACAGCTTCATAAGACCATTGTTCCGTATAATAATCAGCTCTTCGTTCTTCTTCAGCATTTCCCGTTGTAGAATCAGTGATCACCTTCAGATCACGAGATTGTGATGCTAACCATTTACATATAAAACCTTGAGGATCATCAGCAAACGAAAGATAAAACTCTCGACTTTGCTTTAATTGATTGATGCTATCAATATATTGGAGAATCTAAAAGGACCTTATAGGGAGAATCTCTCGTCTGTCATTGCTCTTACTTTGCCATCTAATTCTTCTAGTTCGTGCGTGTTTTGTGGAGTGAGAAATGACCGCATCGAATCGCGAACAGGATCATCAACCTCAACATCGATATCGTAACATGCGTGCTTCTTCGGATCGGTACCCAAACTGAAATTTTGAAATCAATCATAATCTTTGCCTGTTAAAAATATGTCTTACCAAAGTGTATGGTTGATAACAATAGGTTCAGATGGAAGTATGAGTTTATTTAGTTTACTTGGCAGATCGGAAAACCGAAGACGTGCACAATCGAATATCTAGCAAGATAAATATTCAGTCAAAGTAACTGAATTCTCATGGAGGTAAAGAATACGAACCGATTGCAGATGGTGATCACAGTTGATAAATTCTCGTTCTTCCGAATCCTGTAGTTTATGTGTTTTGATGTATTGCCAAATTGCATGGATAAGCGTTTGACGCGTACCATTTGTGATCGAGAGTAAGCGAGCTAAGCGAGCATCAAGACGAAACTGTGGTGGCTATAAACGACATAAAAGTTCACGTTTAAAGTACTTGTTGATTTTTAGTAATTCTTACTGAATGGTCAAGAACCATTAAAATGGTGCATTTAACGTTTTGATCGCCGGGTCGACGAACTTGGAATCCATCTGTTTCAGCGGTCGCATTTGTACGATGCCACTGAAAATTTCAAAAGAGCGTTTATTAAATTTCTTTTCTATAAATTGAGCACCACGTACTTCAACAAGATGATTGTCAGGCCCGTATAAATCTTTATCTAATTCAATGACTAGACTGCGAAAAAATGACGAAAATTTTCGTTTTGCTTTTCCTTGATCGTATTTATTTGTATTTGGCTAGAAAATACGTCAACTTTTACCTAGTTATGATTAGGAGATGTAACTTACATCATCAAGTAGACGACCTTCGACACGCATTTCCCAATACTGAACTTGTTCATCATCCATTCCTGCTGCATCGGAATCAAAACGAACAGGATATTGATGGCTGATAAAGATACGTAGTTTCTTTTTGATCTAAATCGAAATTATTCGCTTGCAAAAATTAAAGAAGCTTTGCCAATCTGAACTACTTTTTGTGGTCGTTTGAGTGTTTCCTGTAAATCGAGACGCTTTCGCATGAGAACAGAATCTAATTTTTGTTCCAATCGTAATAATTCAATATATGCTTGCGATTCCGGCACGAGCGATCGTATCTGTTTGTGAATTATTTTTTCCGTCAAACGTTTACGTCTTTTCCTAAGAAAAATATTCGAAAAGATATCAATGAGCGAATTGACTTCCTACTGAGGTCTGATAGGTCCAGCACCGCCTGCATTGGGCATCATAGCTTGGTTCGGACCAGCCATGGCAGCTCCATATGGCATCATTGGCTGCTGACCAGGTTGCATCATCGGTTGTTGACGTGGATCGTTTGTATAAGACGGACGTTTTGTTTTGTCGTAAATTGGTGTACGATTCATCACTCCATAAGGACTACCAACCGGTCGGGACATCATTGATCCTTGTGGTGATTGCTGTGGCATCATAGCTGCTTGCATGGGTGATTGTGTTACCATTGGACGCATCGATGGAGCACCAACAGGCGCGTTAGGTGGGAGAATACCACCAGGTGCATTCATCATCGTCGGAGGACGTTGCATTTGATTCGGATACATAATTTATCGTTTGACAGAAGCTATTCTGCTACACTAAATTGTATCTGTGCTGTTGAAAAGAAACATCGTACTTGCTAGCTATCATTGTTTGTGCATATATTTCATTCGTTGATGAATTGTACGTATTAAGAAACAAACAAGTAGATGGCGGTAGCTGTCAACACGGTGTTCGTCTTGTTCATTTGATACAATAACAATAATGCCATAAATTTGTTGGAACTAATTTGGAAAATTCTCTTTGTAATAATAGAATTACTATCATCAACAGAATCATCTACTCAATGCGAAAATAACTTAATATAGATAGGCGAAACATATTCACAAGTGAACTTACATGCTGCTGTTATGATTTCATCTACAGATTGGATCAGAGCTCACCCTTGGACAAGATTATTAGCATTTAGGTGATACTGATTTCTATCTAGGTGGTAGTACAGTAATCTGGTGTACTACGTGGCCGCTGTAACTTGTAATGTACATATATCTCGTTTGTGTTCGCAATAAACATATCGTTCGATCATATTGAATTTCTGTATTAATATGCGTGCGCTCCAAATAACTAGTTAATCTCAAAATAGTGTTTTCTTATTCCTGCTTATATCACCAAAACAATTTTGTTTCATGGGGCTACATGAGTGCCGTTGGCTTATGGTCATAGCTAATAGAAGTTTCCAGTACGGACGTTCAGGCAGGAAAGCATCCCTTTTTCACTTCATTCCAAACAATTCCGATCAGATCCCAACAGTTCCCATTAGTTCCAAAAAGTTTCAATGACACTCCGAAAAATTTCATTTGAAATAATATCTTTCCCAAACAAAACACCTTACTAATAACACATCCGCAATCGTGCACCACTATCCTTTGATATCCATTCTGTGCACAAACTCCATGCCAGAATCCACAAATATCACTGCCCAGTCAAGAGAAGCAAATTTTCGAGAGGATTGAAGTCGGCTAAAAAATCTGGTAGTAAGACAGAAATCGGGTTCCTTTTTTCGAATCTGATTCAATCTACGGTTGTCAAAAATATTCACTTGAATGATCGAAACCATATTGACAAAGTATATTGTCGATGAAAATCTCTGTCAGCCAAAAGTATGGCATCCCAAAGCAAAAGTTAAGTAGGCGAATTCAATGATACATCAGGCTGATGATGCTCGTATGTGGAATGTGATGTCCATACGCATCATATGGTCGCAGCCGTTAGAACGTGTTATCAAACCAAAATGACGTCTAACCCTTTTGAAGTCATTTGAGAAAAGTTCGATGTAAGCAGCTTAGTTTTTGTCGACATACAGTATACGGAGGTCTGCCATAATTGCGCCGTTGGATCATATAGATCTAGATCCACATGCCAAGAAAGAAAAGGTAGAATAGCATTCAATAATATTTGTCTCCGGCTATGATTTCATCTGCCTTAGAAAACAGAAAATAGCATAAATCATTTCTTATGTTTTATTGAAGCGATGTTGAAAAAAAAGACATGGGCTCTTTTAAGAAATATAGGATTCGAAGAAAAATTGATGGGGTAATTGAATTGAAACTGCTTGTTAGTATGATAGGTTGAAGTATTGTTAATTCTTTTTCTTTTTTCTGAATGAAATGGTTATGCAGGGGAAAATGTCTTTTTTGAATACGTTTGAAAAACTTTAATCTTGAAGTTCTTCTTTATCGAAGATATATTCGCCAAGACCAGGACCAACACGACGTAAGTTGGTGATGTAGTCCGAATATTCTTTAAGCGATTTAACCTGTATTAAAGAAGTTAATTAGAAAGTTATCATTTAAATCGAAGTTTTCATCTTCATACCTGTTCATCGAGAAATTCGTCTTCAAGATAATTGGAAAGGTGTGGATCACTATGTATAGAAAAGGTAGAAACACGAATGGATTTCCATAACTATCCTACTTGTGCTTGCCAGCATATGAATGCAATTCGAGCAATGCTTGGTAAACATCCTTTTCCAATTGTAATGCAGTTTCATGAGCTTCAAGAGCCGAAGACCAACTTTGTTGAGTTGGTTTCTACAATTTCAAGGACCGAATCATTCATAGAATCGAGATAAACTAGAAAAAAAAGTCAACTGACCTTGATATCCAAAAGTACAATTGTACCACCACGTTTGTTTTGGTATTCCATAAATTTATTCGCGTGTTCATGTTCTTCTTCCGACATCTTCTTGAAAAAATCATAATGTCCTAAGGAAAAAATTCATCAATACGCCAAGGTTCGCGTCAAATGGATCATTTCGTACCTTTTAATGCAACATCGGATCGATTGAAATGATGTGCCATAGCCATATAAGCATAACTAGCATACAATTCTAAATTGATCTGACGATTGATCAAACCTTCGTTATCTTCGTGATAATTGCTAGAAGGGAAAAATCATGATTGTTTACCACTAGAACAAAAGAACATAACTTACTATCGAACGAGATTTTCTCGTGGTTGATTGGCTGCAACCGGAGCCTTTTGACGATCTGGTTGTTGAGTTTTATCCATATTGCTTTGATTGTAATGAGTTATTTCAATGTAATAAAAATCAATTCACTTGGAGGGAACGATGACGTTTTAGTACACACGATTTGTAACGAACAGTCACTGCTGCTGCAAAACAAATCGACCAACTGATGGAAGAAAATGACGACGAATATCTACGCATACATATTTATATAATAAGAAAAGAGGGCGAGAAGAAAAAAAAATCGAGAGAAAAGAAAAAGAACGACAAGAAAAAACGTACGAGGGTCGACTCTTATCGTTTTTCTTCGCGTAGGTTCTGAATGCATGTATTGTCGTGCATCGACGTTACTGGACGGAGAAAATACAGAAAGAAAAATGAACGCCCCACTACGACTACCTATCTAGTATGTTCGTTTAGTAAAGGAACATCGAACAAAGAAAATGCATCGAGAGAGAGAACACGTGTATTAATGCACGAATGAGACGATTATACATATTTTATTGGAGAGCAGCAAAGCGAAAAATCTCAAAAATAATTTTAGAAAGATTTGATAAAAAGATGGCATTAGAATAAAATCGACTACTTTCACAGTCACTTTGTTACATACGTAACACAATAGGGGCAAAAGGGCAAAATATATTTTGCTAAATAAAAATAATCTGAATGTACTTTACCTAGGAAAAGGTCAAGCATTTTTCGTTACAAAAAGAACGCAAAGTCATGTCCAAAATCTGAATAAAGTACAAGTTGATTTTTGAAAATGATAATGAGAATGTAAAAGTGAAATGGAAAATTTAATTCATTTTGTGATTCATTAAAGTACGAACGGTTACATGTCTTAAAATAGTTTTTTATTTGCCAAGTTTATCGGGTATCGATGATGACTAAGAAGAAACGCAATAATGTTTTTGCATCGAATGATGTCGAAAAACACACTGAGCTCCGGATTACGTTGTCATTAGTACAAAAGAAAGGGCATCGCATCATCATTGGGTACTTTTCAAGGGTGAAGTCATCTCATTTCACACTTTTGAGAACTGTGCGAACAGAAGTAACATCTGGTTTGTGAATACGATTGAATAAGTGAAGAAGTTAAATGAGTATGTACAACAATATTTCGAAAATATTCGATACGAACATGAGAGTTGCTTCTGGGTAATCACGAATATTTTTTCTCGTCGTGTCAGGTTCGTCAGTTTTTAACCAGTACACTCTTTTATCCACATGATTTATGATACATCTTATTGTTTTTGTTTTAAAGAAGACAAAAAATACAGTTATCGTTATAAGAAAAAAAGAATGGATAATATAATAAAAGAAAATCCACACACATAGACACACCGATGAAAAAGAGAAAGATTTATCTGCGTAATGTTCATGAATGGTGCAGACAGGTGATCGTTATCGTCGAATGAAAACTACAGTTAAAAGCCCTATGAAGAAGACGTTCGAATGTGTCAGTTGTAACCAGAAAATCTCTCCTTACCAAGTATGTAGCTAGCAATGACTTTTGAATTAGTTGTCATATGTAAATAGGATGGCAAACGCATATTTGAAGTGGTTGAATCATCAGGAATGGTTGGTGCTACTAGAATAAGTGCACATATGGCACCAAGAACAGTTAGAACAAAAACAACTAATGGATCGCCTAGAACAGGAAATCTCATTTTCAATATGGCCGGCCCGTTTGAAATAGAACATACGTGTTTCTTGTTGAGCAGTAAAGGTTGAATTTGTCGTTGTTACTGTCGTATTCATTCGATTATGTTGGGACGCACTGCCGAGGCCTGGTTCTTCATCGAAATTTTGTTCTAAGGGTTTATACGATAGGACTGAACATGTTACATCACGTTTGCCTAGAAAATAACGAAAGTTACACATAGAGATCAGTTGTCTTTGTCAAATGATTTGGTACCAATAAGATCCTGGGACTTTCGACGATCAAAAAATTGTATGCGAATTTTATGTACAATATTCTGATTGGTAGATGATGCTGATGTATCAAGAAGACGTACGATTCTTTAAAAGAAAACAAATGATTTATTTGAATTATCTTAGATAAATACGGCAATGAATCTTACGTATCTACAGAGTGTTGCGCGCGAATTTCGCCCTGTGGTTCGGCAACCGAATATTTTCGTGAAGCGGTGCATAACACTGTTAGAGAGAATATTGATTGCTTGATTTCGATCGAAGCGAAAATATTATTTTACCTTTGTAACGGACGACGAAGTCGTATGGGTTGTAGAGTGTTAAAACCTGGGAGTAGGTACTGGGATCATCTGAAATTTGCTCAAGAAAGTTAGTAGAAGAAGATTCACGGCCCTTTTTTTTTCTTACCCAGGTAGAATAAAAGTGAATTGGATGAACAGAAAAAAGGCAATTGAGAAACATTACTGGTCAAATGTGTTGGCAAGGACATAAATACATCTGTAATATACGAAAATAAGAAAGAAATAGATTGAAAGCAGTTAACAAACACACACGCGGCAATTGTCAGTCAATGAGTCATTAGAAGCAGCTGACGATTACAATGAAGAGTAAAAACAAAGACTATTCGTAGATTAACTATTGCGAAGTATAATGAATAGGAATTTCAATTTCTATGATGATGTAAGTGAAATAAAATAAAGAATGGCATTATCGATGCTATGTACGCTGAAATCTTCAAAATCATTGGTAAACTCAACAGAATGATTTGGATTAACAAACAGCGTCATCTATCAGCATGTGTCGCTCTTCAAGGATCTCGCTGAGTGTACTAGTTGTACTAAAGACTATAGAATCGGCAAATCGCGAAGGATATCTTGGCTTTAGTAAGGGATTTGTAGAAATGACACCAAAGTCGATGGAATCGAGTCTGATCGTTTACACATTGTTGTAAGATTTAGGGTTATTCACTGAGTCACAGATCAAATTTAAGAAAATATGTCTGTATGTAAATAGGTAGATAGTTTATCTATTCTTAGGAAAGTATCAGATCAACAGACAACGTCAAAATCTGTCCATGGTAGTATTCTTTTGCCTTTTTTTTGTGAGAGACATCAAGATTATTTCATAGTACCTATTATAAATCAATGTATCGTTTTGCACTTATTAACACCGATAGCTGTTTTGTATCATATCTACGAAATAATGGTTATCTTTGACTGAATAAGAACGCGTATTAGTCGTTCGCACGAAGGTTATCTATACATTGATTGTGCGAACTTATTTTAAATTGCGTATGCGATCTACATATTACTAGTCGTCTCACCAAAGCCAAACGTACAAATTCTGACCGATATGCTTGATCACGATTCTAGAAAATCAATGAGAACATTTAGAATTTTATCTGCTTCTGGTTTTACACAACTGCTAGTTTTAACTAATGCCATCTGCATGGGTTTTTGGATTGGCTAGTTCGTGACCATATTTATATTCATTCATTCTGTTGCTTTTTTCTTCTTTCAGCTCAAATAAAACCGAATATTCGAATTACTCTGTTGTTAACTGACGAATAAATGGCTGAGTTATCAAATGAGAATGCTTTGTAAATATCTTTCTGCTAATCTATAGAATGTCTCTATTATCATATTCATAGTAACAACTGGTCTTTGGCTAATCTTCAAAAGATTAATGTTCAAGAATTATACACTCGTCAACGGCAGAGCTTACGTCCCTGGTTTGAATTTTTCAATACTGCTAAGTTTAAAACGCCCAAAAATGTGGCCACTGGTATGTCAATTAATCTTATTCTATTTAAATCTGATCCTCTCTCATTTTACTTGTTTTCTTTTAAGGCACAAAGCGATTAGTGGCAAATATCGAACATTATCAAACCAACTATGTTATCGTTATTATCATTCTATCTATCTATTGTGTGTAAGTTCATTTATATCACGCTTACCTTGAAATCGTTTGCTTTCGATTAGAATTACGACACCGTCATTATTGTTTGTTCTATTGGCTATGGCTGCCGGATGTTACGTAGTTAATGTTAAAAATCGAGAAAAACAATTAGTTCTGATGGGTATACGATTTCGATGCATATTGAACAGGAATGTCATGTGAATAATTCTGTCTAGGGCGTCAAATTCCTCTAACACAACAATACGTAGCAGTACTTTGTCTTTGTATTCCATTGTTGGTCATGGTCGGAGCTGGTGCAGCTATCTTTTGGATTCTCGGTAATTGATGTACATATGAAGTATTGTACGTGTATTTGTTTGTGATATTCTAGGCGCATCAGTGTTTGTCATTGCTCTTCATGCTATTTTTCATCAATCGCCAAATCAAGATGCATTCGGTTTGCAATTGGAAGAAGTTTAAAATCGAAAATATCATAGAACATTTTGAACAAATTTGTGATATCCTATCTGAATTCGATCTGAAAAGATTACTTTGTTTCGATTGCACATAAAAGTCTTTTATCATTCATTGTTCTTTACTTACGGGGAAAATATGCTCATAATAGAATATCTCGATATTGATTATATTCATATAGAATTTTCGTATTCTAGATGGCAGCGTCATCGAATTACGTCATCGAAGTGCGAATTGATGTTCTTAAAACGTTGAAAATTGCTGGATTGGCAACTGGAGCCATAGCAGCGATTGGTCTGGGTGCATATTATTTTCACCAACGAACTCAACGTGCTAAACGCGTCACTTTCCGAGAGGAGGTCAAACATATCCTTGAGCCTTTTCAATTAACCGATGAACAGCTTCGTCGTGTTATGGCAAATTTAAATACGGAAATGACCAATGGCTTACGATCCGACGATGAACGAGAGAAGAATGATTTAGCAATGTTTCCAACTTATGTTCATTATGGTCCAAGTGGCCAAGAAATCGGGGAATACTTAGTCGTGGACTTAGGTGGCTCGAATTTTCGTGTATCACACGTGAATATCGAAGGGCGAAATCGCATACGATTGAACAATAAAATATTTCTTATTCCTCATTCGCTGCTGTTGGGTGAAGGTGACAAATTGTTTGATTATATTGCTGAGTGCTTGCAACGATTTATTGATGACAATAAATTAGCCCTACATAAACCAGCTGGCTACAAATTCGATCTGGGTATATACGAACCTATTTTTCCTTATTCGGTCTCTATTTCTATTTGTTTTCAGCGTTTACATTCAGTTTCCCATGTAACCAAACCAGCTTACGACAAGCCAGATTGGTATCATGGACAAAAGGTTTCAGTTGCACCGGTGTTGTGGGTAACGATGTGGTTCTTTTACTGCAACAAGCCATCGACCGTCATAAAGTAAGAAAAATACTCACTAATACTATTAACGATTAATTCTGAATCAATTTTAGGGATTAAATATCCAAGTCGTAGCTTTGGTTAATGATACTGTCGGCACACTGATGGCATGCAGTTCGATATATCGCGATTGTAAGGTGGGTGTTATTCTCGGCACAGGTAAATAATTTAGTTCGAAAAGTAAAGAAAAAGGTTTTCGTTATGCAAATAACTGATTAGGATACAATGCATGCTATTTCGAAAATATCGATAATGTCCCGAAGTGGAAAGGAGTACGAGATCAAGCAACAAAACAGATTGTTATCAACACAGAATGGGGTGCGCTCGGAAAAGTATGTCTTTGGTTTGAGTGAGTAAAATTCACAGCATTTCATGTTTTAGCATGGCTGTTTGGACTTCATTCGAACGAGTGTTGATCGAGAATTGGATGAATCTAGTTCGACACCGAATCAACAAGTTTTTGAAAAGATGATTTCTGGTAGGTTGAATGAAGAGAGTTCGAAAACATGAAAGTACACGATATTTGTTGTTTTAGCGCTCTATCTCGGAGAAATTGTTCGTCTGATAATTGTCGATTTGGTTCAACGTTCAATACTTTTGCCCGGTCGTATGCAAAAAACGCCAAGTCTTCGATCAGATTACAACATTTTCCTTATTCTACGAGGTAAAATGATTATTCACCATCCTGGCCTTCGTGACATCAGTGTTTTCAATTTCTAGGTAGCTTTTACGCAAAACACGTGGCAGACATCGAATCGGACAATAGTAACTAATATTTAGATTGAAAGGCGGATTCAAATGTGTTTTTCTTCTGTAGCGGAGGACTTATCAGTAACATCGTCCATTCTTACTTCTATTGGCATCCATGATCCATCCTATGATGATTGCTATCTGATTCGAGAAGTTTGCCGAACAGTTTCACTTCGAGCAGCTAAATTAGCTGCAGCTGGTAGGACCGTTCATTTTCCAAACTGCATTTAATGTCATCAGTGTTTCAGCTATTGCTGTTTTGGTCAATCGTCTCAATCAATCGTCAGTGACTGTCGGTATTGATGGAACACTGTTTCGTCATCATGAAAAATTTAAAAAGAATCTGGCACGTACACTGAGTCGTCTCGTACCTCGCACGGTAAGCTTGTATTTGAGTGTAATTATGCAAAAAAAAACGTCCTTAACTATTTTTTGTTTGCAGCATCGTTTAGTTCTCTCTGAAGATGGTTCATCAAAAGGTTCAGCCTTGGTTGCTGCCGTCGATCGACGTATGAGAGAAACTGGCTTCTCTTCGTAATCTTCTCATGCTCATGTTTCCTGCTTTTCATCTTCTCAATACTTAGATCTTGATTTTAGTTTTATTCCTAGTCATTTTAGTACTAAACTATTTTAGAATGTATTCACCTTTAAAATCTTCTCGCTGATTAAGTTATTTGTACTTTATCGTTTTCCATAGATGATTAGCTATGTTTTCTGAACGGAATATTTTCAATACATATATATATATATTAAAATATATGTCTACCCGTCATTATTTTTCAGATATATGATCCTATGGATGGTCTCTATTTGCCCGATGGGCGTCAGCTCGCATTAATTGATCGTGATTGGATTTTAGACGAATTACCACATTTAGGCAATCCGGACGATAACTCTGACGCCAATTATCTTCTTGCATCAGCAGCAGCAGCAACAAGTGGTGCAGGTATTGCCACAGGTGGATCAGCAGGTCGTAGTGTGGCCGGAATTGGATCTAGTGCTGGAGGATCCGCACACGGCGTGTCAAATAATACAGGCGGAGGATCAGGCAGTGCAGACGGTGCAGGAGGACATCCTCACGGCTCAGGCGCTAATCATAATCACAGTTTATTGTACAATCCTGACGAATACGAAGGTGATCTAACGTTGTTATCCGAAATCGTTGACGAAACACAGAACAAGTGGTCAGATTTCGGTTTAAATCAATTACTTACACCTTACGCGCGCTCGATTCGACCAACATTCAAATAAACATTGCAACTTATTACACATTCATTCTTAGTTTTACCACCTATGCCTCCTAGCAATGTGTGTTTTATTCGTCTTCGACGATATTTTCTTCGTTATAGCCTTTCATGTAATCGTCGAACGAAACTCAAAAGTCTTCTGAAAATTTTCTTAATTATTATTGTTGCCTTTCTTTTCATGACTCTGATAAATGGGGTTCTATTTTCAAGTTTGCTATTCTTTCAAGAAGATACCAAAGAACCAGATTATGATTTCGATACACGCCCATATTATAGAACCATCGAAATGAAAAAACGCTTCGATACGTCTGGAAACTATATAATCGTACAAAATTTCGTGCAATACCAATCAAATCTTACCAAAAACGCGGGCCTATTAGCATTGAATCTACATACAGGTATCGATCAACTTCATTTATTGTTACAACATGTTAATGTCTGGGATGGTCCAATATCATTGAGTTTATATGTGAAAGGCTCACGTGGTAGTGATGATATTGACTATGCAGCGATGTGGCTTCGATGTAATCGACGATCATTTAAAATACTTAACATTCATCTCGTCATTTCAGCTACAGCTTATAAAAGTAAGAGCACGTTGAAAATTGAATTCCAGTGTAACTAACTCTCCTACTCTAGGTTCGATATCAAGTCAACATCATTCTCATAGTGTTAAGTATACTGTTAACTGCCAGCAAGTGAGTTATACGAATCACTCCGATGAGAAAGATTCCACACCGTACCCGTCGAATCTTCTTCGAAATATTGCACGTCTTGGCAATAGCCATCCTTCCATTCAGTACATTTTAACCCTGGATATTGATATTTTTCCATCACCTGATCTCTTTCATCATCTCGTCTCATTCTATACGAAAACGTCGATATCGAATGAAAACTTCAATCGCACACTTTATGTCATTCCTGTTTTCGAAATTCATACTGATACAATAAAACGTTCCATACCTTTACCACAAAATAAACATGAACTGACTCTTCTATGGAATGATCAACAAATTCAGCCGTACCAAAACGATATCTGTCCAACATGTCAATCTTTAACAAATTATCAAGCGTGGAAACAAGAACAACGAAGCGATGATATTCTTCCACTCTTTCGTCCGCATTATTCTCAACCATGGAAACCCTTTTTTATCGGACCGAAAACGATGCCGATGTTTGATCCGCGTTTCAAAGCTCATGGACATGCAAGAATAAGCCAAGTAAGAAATCAATCTGACTCTCTACCGTTTTTTCGCATTTTCACTCGTTTAGTGCTGTGAGAGTTTCATTTCTGGTTATGATTATGCTGTTATGAATAATGTCTACCTGTATCGAATCGGTTTTCTCGAAAAATCTCAATTACCTAACACGAAATTCATCGAAGACGATACTTCATTACTACTCTTTCAGCAATTTTATGAAGATTTATTGAAGAGCTATCCAAATACTACAAGAAAATGTTAATCTGTTCTCTCTCTTTTCTATATATTTTTTTCTGTTCGTATATACACATCTCCACACTATTGGGAAAGAAAGGCAAAGTCTAAAAAGCGCATATGTTAATTGTAGATATGGATAGAAGACAAACACATTCGTCGATACATACAGATTGTGGAAGTGACTTCATCATTCACACTTCATCTTTAACATGGAAAAGTCGTCTGCAAAACTTCTTCGGTATACCTAAACCCATAGATGGAGAAAATACTGACAGTGAACGATGCTCTTGGTGTATGTGAAATGAACATCGTAGACATTTACGATCTATATTTCGGATATTTTTAGCTGCCCATACACTTCTCTGTGCAACTATTTTCCTAGAAGATGCTGTTAATTATCAATCTATAGCTCATAAAGTAACAAATTTCTATCTGCTTGTTCATCGATGGTCATCCAGTCCATTGATTCGAAAGTGAGAACATTAAACTTGAATGACTGATTGCATGTCGATAATAATAATCTCATAGTCTGCACCGCATTGCTCTAACGATTAATCTTTGTTTGGCTTTGTTTGAACAACCTTCATCATTCAGTTTAACATCCGATGTTCGAGATAA